CATCACATTGCTTGAATGGTTTTAGAGACTGATTGACTATTATACAAATATCCCTTTCCTTCATAACACTGTTAAGGTTATTCCCATCCAAATTATACTTATAATTCAAATTATGATAACCCACATGAATTATCTTGCATTTATTATAATTAAAACCCATCTGCCATTTATTTGCCCAATTCACTAAATTAATTTGTAAATCAGCAGCATCCTCTTCTTAAAAATAACTTTCGTTTGGCTTCGGCTTCACTCAATCGCGGCATTATGGCAGTGATATTGAAATGTATGCGAAAGTCTAAATGTTTGTTCGAGTATTTATCTATTCATATTCCAAGTTTGAATGATCACCTTGAGCTAGAGAAAAAGTGTTAAAAGTCTTAATATTAGAAAAAGTAGTTTCAAGACAATAATACCTCCTCTTCAGTGACATGTTGCTTTACCGTGGTTTTCACTAATTGCTACACATATTGTGTTTTTTTTATCACAATCTAAGTTCTTCAACCATATGTCATCTAAACTGGTTCAGCCAGTTCCTTGCAACTACTTGCGACACCAAATATACAAACATTTTTGTTTTATGCGTATAGATATAGAAATTATCATATATCTGCTACTCAGAATAATTATCTTTGACAATGAAAAATGAAATAATATTAAGTTTTTTTCAACTCGGCAGGAAAGAAAACCTAATTAATTATATGCAAGCGGTTTTCAGTTTTATGAGATGAAATTGAAAAAGTAAATTAGAGTTGGAAATTAGATCAAATATATATTTCTTAATAAAATTATCGTTTAAAATTGTATATTTGTGTAAAAACACAGTTTTTCTACATTAAATATAATTAATTCTCTTTGTAAAAGCAATTCGTTACAACAACCTTATACAAACTAACTCTTCTGTTCAAAAGCATGACCATAAGAAGGCGCATATTCACTTAATAGCATTCAGTAGACTTCTAAATTATACTTCATTTTCAAGAGGTAAGAAATATCTCTCCTTTGATCGTTAATTACTTCAAACCTATTGTTTTAATTTCTGTGTCAACAAAAGATTGAAACACTATCATGTACGATATTTTTTTCACAAGTAGACTTGATTTTAATTTTTTACTCAATGATTATGAATATTATCAAATTATGATAATTTTTCTGTATTCTTCTTTCTTGTGCGAATAGTTTTGTTTGCTGGAAAACTAAAGTCTAATCCAAATGAGGATTTAGAAACTATGACAAACCTATCACTCTCTCTGCTCAGAAGTTCTTTATGGAGGCGTATCTTATATTCTTCATATGAACTGACGTCAATTCCAACTTCGGGAGTCTCGTGTGTCTCTTCCTGTATAAAATCGATATAAAAAAATTAGTGCAACTGGACTTACAGAAACATATATATGCATATCAACTTTATGAGTCTATTTTGTAAACAAATATTACTTTTATTTCATAAATTTTGAAATCAATGAGCATATTTAATTCTTTTACTCCATTATACACTTTTATAGTTTTACCACACTATACATATTATACCAGTTTATCTCTCACTTCTTAATATTTTACCATGCTATACATTTTACATTTTCTTTTTTACAGTGCTAAATGTCCCCAGGTGGGACAGCGGTATGTTTACGAACTTACAATGCTAAAATCTGGGGTTCGATTCCCCGCGAGGAACACAGCAGATAGATCAATGTGGCTTTGCTTTAAATCCAGCAAAGTAAACAGTGCTTGTTATCTCATACTCTGGCGTTATATAAATATATATATAGAACTTTTACACAGTTAATTTTTAGAACATTATACATTTTACTTGTACAATATCATATTATTTTCTACGTTCTATATACAACATTTTATATTTTCATTTCATAGCATCGCTCATTTGTTTTATTTCTTTGTTTTCAATTTTGCCGAAAACTACTCGAGGGCTATCTACGCAACTTGCCCTTAATTTTAAAGTGATAGATTAGAGGGAAGGTAACTAAGTCAACACTATCCTACGTCAACGCTTGGGCTACTCTTTACCAACGGGTAGTGAGATTGACCATCATTATTACGCCCCCGTGGCTGAAAGGGCGAACATGTCCGGGGAGGGAATTCGAACCCACAACTTTCAGAATGTGAGTCGAGTGCCTTAACCACTAGACCAAGCAAGGCTGTATTTAATAATGCTATTTGCTCTTCGTTACATTTTTCATTATACTTCCAGAATGTATATATACTTAGAAACCTCACCTGTACAATTCAATTTTTTATTTCTATAAACTCATACGTGATACATTTCCACATATTCACAAACTTCACCTTCCCAACTTTATACATCTCATGATGATAACTAGCCGAAGTGGGGGATTGCTGGGTTCGATCAAAGTGTGGTGTGAGCTTAAACCACGAAACCGCTATTATAACCATGAAAAACGACCCTGATCATCCTGAAAAAAAAAAAGCCTAGCCAATGGAGCTCAGGTGAAGTCGCGCAGGTTAGCAAACCAGTGGTGGATTAAATCTTGCTGAAAAAACAAACAAAGGAAACACAACTGAATGGATTTAAATGGAAAACAACTAGGCGAGTACAAAGGACAAAGAGACAAAAAAATGAAATCGACCATTTCAACACTCAATATATGTGGCATGGGCAACAAACATTAGGAAATATTTACAATGATGAAGGTCCGAAAGATAAAAATAGTTGGTTAGCAGACATAAAGCTCCAAAGCAACGGCACCAGGTAACTACAACAAAACTACATGCTCAATTATTTTGGAGTAAATGTAGAAGAACAAGCCAAGCATGGAGTTGGGTTCATAATTAACCTAGACACAACCAAAAGCAACCTAGAGAATGAAAGTATCTCTGAGAGAATAACCAATATCAGAATTAACGAGGTAAATAAAAAAGCAACGTACCAGCATATGTATGTACTATGTAACAACAGCACCAAAGAAGAAAGTGACGAATTTTTTGATAATCTGCATTTCTAACGTAAAAGTAGAAGACAATCTGTACGTAATAAGCGATTTTAATTAATGGGAAACTGGGAAAAGAAAGAGGTCAAATCAAAGACTATTGGGGCCCTTTCAGTGATCAAAGGGGATTACAAAATGAAAATGGAAGCAGATTGCTGGAACTATGTAGCCGTCACGATTTATTACAAATTACATTACAAATACATTCTTCAAACTTGGAGACTCACAAGTGTATTCTTGGTATAAATGGAATGATATGAACTGCAAATGCCAAAACTGACTTCATACCGGCGAGAATAATCTGCAAAGGAAATATAACAGATACAGACCATAAAATGGTGTTACTGCGAATAAACAGCAAAACACCAATAGTGGAAACAAAGTGCAAAATAAACAAAGAAGACGTCATTAAACTAAACTGATTGAAAGTCCAAAAAATGAAGGAGAAGTATAAAATAGGACTAAGAGTAAAACAGAATAAGAATACATCCAGTATAGAAAAAGTAGAAGAACCACATAAGAATTAGTAAAGAAAGTGAATGAGAAATCTTGAGAAGAGTGTGGAAAGATGATTAAGGAAGATCGCAAAACAGCAAACAAAAAGGGAATGATCTACATGCAAGTTAAAGCAATAAGAGGGCGAAATAGGAACTACGATCCCACTGAGATAATAAATAAAAAAATGAAAATCCAATCACTGCCCCAGAGAAAACATTTGGAACAGGGAGAATACTTCAGAGAACTTTTGAATTCCTTCATATAGTAGCTCGAGAAGAATCAAGTAATAACATTCTGAAGGATTGCGAGAAAGAACCAGAAGTTGTGTTTAAAAAGTAAGAAAAGCAGTGTAAATAGCCCCTGCAATACCCCAAAAGAACTGATAAAAACCTCTAAGGAGACGTGCATTGCATAGCTAGCAAAATCTTCAATCTAGCATGAAAAAGTAGGAAAAACTGGAAGACTAGAGGAAAGCAGTCATCATTCCATTATTGAAGAGAAAAGGGAGCAAATGAGACTGCACAAAATACAAAGGACTCTCCTTACTCAATCACACAGGAAAAGTGTATGCAGAAATGACTGAGAAGTGACTGAGACAAACCATTGAAACTCAACTATATGTGGCACAAATAGAATTATGAAAGAATAGAAACTATACCAAGGCAATCTTTATACCAACTTACAGAGAAGACCATCGAGTATAACAAACAGCCGAACCTAGCCTTTGTTGATTAAGAGAAGACGTTTGACAGAGTTAACAGGGAATAGCTATGAAAGTTACTGAAACCTATGGTGTCAGTGACCACTTAATCAACACCTGAAAAGTATTTAAAAACAGCAGCTGTGTAGTCAAAGCAAGATTGGAATCCTCAAAAGCTTTTCAAGTGAACTCAGGAGTCTGACAAAGCTGTGTTCTCTCAATGTTCCTTTTCATCACATACTTTAACCCTAAATGAGCTCTTGTTTGTAGACGATCAAACATTTATGGCATCCACTGGATGAAAACTGCAGAGCCATACTGAACGCATCAACACAACATGCAAGAAGATCAGTGTTGGAAAACAAACTTTTTATCATTTCGACGAAAAAGTGGAAACCTTAAAATTAAAATAGAAAATCAAACACTGAAGCAAGCAAACGAGTTCCAATATTTCAGCAGCATCATCTCAGAAGATGGCACCTTAGATACAGAAATCGACGAAAGCAAAACACATAACATGACAATTAACACCTTTATTACAACACAAACAAATATCCCTTGAAACAATGATAACTCTCCAACATCATCTTCATACCAACACTTTGCTATCAGTGCCAAACATGGATGTTAACATCAAGAAATGAAAGAAAAATTGTCAAAACAGAAATGAGGTGCCTCAGAAAAATTCTTGGTGTAAACATCAGAGACAAAATACCTAACAACGACATGAGAATGAAGATGAAAACTGAACCAGCCTTGTCATACATCAAGAGACAACAAATCAAGTGGTTCAGATACCTTATTAGACAACATCCAAATTTTCTGACATAAAGAGTATTTACTAAAAAGATAAATAGCTAGACAGTAAAAAGATTAAACACCCAGACGGTGGATTGGTGCCCTTAGCACCTTTGGGAACATAACAATACAGGAGACAAACAAGCGAGCAAGAAACCATTCCTCGTATGTCTCCTCAATGTTGCATGGCATAAGAGGATGGCGAAATAAAATGATGAATAAATTGGAAAGTCAGGAAACAAACTGACAAAGTTGAATGTCAAAATTGCCAGCTCAGTGAAGAACTTGGTCTTAATAGTGTAATTCAGGACTAATAGGTCTGAAGTTCTGATACTGGCATAGGAACAAAAATATAACGTGACGGTCAATCCCACTATTCGTTGTTAAAAGAGTAGCCCAAGAGTTGGAAGTTGGTGGTGTTGACTAGCTGCCTTATCTCTAGTTTATCGCTGCTAAATTACAGACGGCTAGCGCAGATAACTCTCGTGTAACTTTTCGCGAAATTTCAAACGAACCAAACTAACCCATCTTATGATCATAGCAACTGACTTTACAAGTAGGGCAGGTAACAAGCAGAATAGCTGCATGTTTTAATTAATGCACTTCCACTCATAAGCCAGAACTGCTTGTTTCAATACAAATTCCACTTAACTTCAGATGAAATTTATTAAAAGGGGCCCTTTCCATTATAATTTTCACATCCTGAGCTATCATTTTTATTTTCAGCTACTTAATACACTTACTCACAGATCAAAAAAGGACATATAGTTATAGAGCTGTTAGTCAAATTTTTCACTGCCATGTCACCGCCACCTATGGATTATGAAACTTACTGCATTTGGATAGCGAGAAAATTGATTGAAAGCGAAAACAAGTAAAATAAAACTTTCTCACTGCGATTTATCCCAGTCTGTTTTATTTCTCATGCTGCATAAAAGCAGAACTCCATCCCTGTGAACTTGGAAGATATAAATAGGATTACTATACACAAGAAGTACAAACGTGTGTGTAGATGCAAAGCAAAATTGCACAAACACATACGTACACATAATCTCAGGCAAGATCTTTGATAAATACTAATCCATATTTACCATAAGGTTCCATCCAAACGCTTGGAAAACAAGAATCAAACCATATTTTCAATATTTTGGATATTTTAAGCTCCAACTGATCAGCAATACACCCAACAAGTATTAATATTCTAGATGTTGTATGTTCGAGGTACTACATCTAAGAACCCAAATGTCCTAGCCTTAACGAGCTAGTGATTTTCAGCAGTACAACATCACATCTTTTCAATTATTAGTCTTTATCATACGTATATTGTAATTGTATTAACCTATGAAAATCTTATAATATAATATTAAAAATTTACAG